AGATGTAGGACTCATTAGACGAATCGTGATATAATATATATATAATGCTGTAGTCTACATCTGGACAATATTCAAAAGTTGGAAATATTATTTGGCCCCCCATCGACAATTGCTTCCGTGTGGCAGTTATCAAAGTTGTGTTCAAAATAATTGCCCCGTGGAGAAGACGCTCTTTGCAGATTGAGTGTCCACCGACGAACAAAAACAACGTCGTCTCTAGGTACCCTGAGCAGCGAACCGTTACCAGTGCATCTCTCACTCTCCTACGAAAATCACCTCGGTAGATTACCCATGTAAAGGTGGTACTCACTGCCTGTACAGCAGGCTCTGCTACCCCAAAGGTGAAACAAGTGAACAACTTGTGTTGAGCGTTGTCGAAGGGGATAGTCTAGACGTCCCCACGTCCCCAATTAACGTTCCCCCCAAGTAAAAAGTTCAAGAACGCCTTATCACAATGTTCGCCTCTCGTCGGCTGTGGCTGCTCCCATGGTGCATCAGGTGTGCTTCTCCGACAACGACAAAGCCGAGACGATTGCGATCCAGCATGTCTTCCCGGGCACCTGCCACATGTTGTGCATCTGGCGTACATGCATCAACATCCGGGAGCACGGGGGGGGTCTTGGGGAAGGTGTCCTCTCCGAAGTGATTCGCAAGTTCAGAACAGCGGCGTTCGCGCAAACGGTGAAGGTGACAAGTCGTTCACGCCGAGTGCGTCGTTTTTACCACGTGCGTGTCGATCCCTACGGGTGATGGATTTTAAAATTTGCGTGTCGATGCCCATGGGTGATGGGCTTCAAGATCGGCCTTGTTATGGAACGCTGCGCTGAGTTGGGGAAATTTGAAACGTGGGAATCGCCGCTCGTCCCTGTTTGTTGTCCCCCGATAGGGCAAGTCACCGCGCGCTTCCTCTCGCCCATGCTCTTGCGTCCCGTTGCGCGCTCCGCTTTGTTGCTGTTACAGTTTTTCCTGCAAGCTATAACGGAGCTCCTGGCCGTCTTGCCCCCAGAGAGCAAAATGTACGACTACATGGCAAACAAACATCTTCGGCGCAGGGTAAGCAGCGTGTGACATGGCAGTCCTTAGGGTACGGATGAATCGCATGTTGCTCCTGCATCTTGGACGACGAATTGTCAGTTGGGATGGCATCCTCTGTATGCACCCTCTAACTTTGAGCCGCTCCGTAACTTGAAACAGGCAGGTTGAGAAGTGGGCGTCATGCGTCCACCCTGGGCTTCACACCCTCGGCATCTGCTCCACGCAGCGAGTGGAGTCGATGAATAGTGCGGTGAAGAGGTTGGTCACGAGGGCGGGCATCATGGTCGATCTCAACAGAGCGCTCATGGGCAAAGTTCAGGACGACGCAAACAAAACCAAGAGGTGAGTGTCCGGCGACGTCGACGTGTGTTTTTGTGGCGGACAGATTTAGACGTATTGCGTGGTGGCTTGCTCGTGTTTTCCCCAGAAGGAAGGTGGTAGTACTCCCAAACGAAGACTTCTACCGTTAGAATCCACCCGCGTGTGTGTCGGGGTTCGGTCAACGACAAGAAAGGGCAATACATTAACCGTGCGGAAGCACGCCAGTTGCACCTGAAGCAGGTCAAACCATCACCGTTCTCGTGCTGGAATAGCGTGAGCTTTGCTTGTGCGATACTTTTGCCGCCGAAGTTCCTGCGGTCCACACGTGCACTTTTGTGCTTCGAGCCCCCCAGTACCCACCACCATACCAACGCCCACACATGCTTTTGCTATCATGGCGGTTGTGACTACTCGTTTGGCTGACTTATTTCGTTGCCGTTGCTCGTTCTTGCGCCGTTTTGTAGGCGAAGCGAGGAAGGCTGCCCCGAGCGCCTTTGCCGTGCGTGTCTAGCATGGAGAATGTCAGGCGCGGACTCCTTCAGCATTTCAGCTTCGTCGTGAACGCGGTGAAGAACGAGCGGTGTAGCACGCGCGCAATCGAGGTCAGTTGTGGTGGTCTTGGGTTGCACCCGTGGGTAGACGTGTACTTTTTGTTACAGTAGACCAGCAGTGCAGTAGGGGCGCCCAGCAGGTTGCTTGTGTCGATGTTGCGCCGATGGCGTGGACTCCTGATTGTTTCCCCCCATCAAAAGAAGGGGTGCCCCTTCCACATGCCGAACAGGGCGCGGGCAACATGTCTTCTCCCCCGATTCTCGGATGCGAGCCCTCAAGTTCCTACAGCCCCCCACCCTCCTCCTCCTCGCGCAACGCCCTTTGGGTATATCGTAAATGGCAGGACACAGAAGCACAGGTCGTCGCCGCTATCGGTTACAACGCCACCTGCCTGGTCAGAGGTGAAGGTGAAGCGTGGCGACTGCTCGACGAGCTGGCGGCCAACCCAGCCAAGGCGAAACTCTGTTACGACACCTCCTCCGGAGAGCTGATCGACCCTTCACAACCGACGACCGAGGCCCCTGGCGTCTCCACGGTGTCCCGGACATCCGTGCCCCACTTTGCGGACCTACTCCGTGACCAGAACGTCAACGCAGTGGTGCGCGTCAGCATGATCGCTCCGCCGTCTGAGTTCGGTCACCTCGTCGCTCTTGGACCCGACGGCTTCTTCCTCTGCACGTGCCTGCGGCAGCTGGTGTACGGCCTGCTCTGCCCGCATGGCCTCAAGGCCTTGTGGGCCGAGGGTGTTGTCAGTTTCAAGGGAGCAACCATCTCACCACGGTGGCGTGAGAGTGAGACGCCATGGCTGATAGCCGAGCTGGCCGCTAGCCTGCGAGCCTATCGGCCGAAGCGGCCGCGAGTGCCGGTCTGCCGGCGGGTGTCGGCCAGCCGCCGCGTGCCGACCCCAACTCCACCGTCTCGCGCACCGGCCCTAACGTGCCATCATACGCGTACACGAACGGCGTTGCCCTGGGCAAGGAGTTGGGTGGTATGTTCAAAGAGATCAACAATCTGGCGGGCATCCACCGCGCGATGGAGACCATCAAGCTTTTCGCCCGCGCGCAAGTCGACCTGGAGAAGAGATCCCAAGACGAGCACTCAACGAACCGAGTTTTCCGAGGGGTTTTCTCGCAGCCCGCCGAAGACTTGCCGTCGGGAGATGCCGGCGGTACGGGGAGGGGCCCGGGGCGGGGAGGCCGTAGCGGCGGAGGTGGAAGGGGGGCGACAGGGATGGGGGGGAGGGGCGGACGGAGTCAGGGGCACGCAGGGAGGGGCGGAGCAACCGGCGTGCGTACACCAGGCCCTGGCGCGGGGGATTCCTCGTTCCACCCGCCAGCGGCTGTGGGCGGCGCGGTGCCACCGGTCAGTGGGGCGCACCCGCTGCAGGGTGCTGGCGTGCCGCTTGGTTCCCTGAGCAACGTCGCCGTTCCTGGTGGCGCGGGGCGGCAGCCTTCGCCACTCCTTGCCTTGGAGCAGGTGCAAGCGCCGCCCGTGTTGAGGCAAAAGGGGCCGAGGAAAAGGCACAAGAGTTCTGCAGCTGGCGGAAGTTAGTGGATGACACCGCGCGGAGTCGCCAGAGATATGGTAGCGCGCGTTTCGTGTGTTTGCGCGGTATGGGCGTTGCTACCGTTCGCGGGTCTTTTTTTTCAGGTGGTCTGAGTACAGATAACATGTAGTCGGATTTGCTGGCCTTCGATAGAGATCAGATCATCATTTGGGCAGCGCGTTTGGGCAGGACGGCTCGCTTCGAACCCCACACCCGGCTGTTATGGGTGGGGGGGGGGAGAGCGTACCCAACGTGTGGAACCCTCGTACTGCTGGTTTTTGAACACCTTTTGATTTTTCTTCCGGGCGTCGGCGAGACGCAAGTACCGCAAGAACCCTCCCGGGGGCAGCTTAGGACCGCGTGTGTACTTACCATGTTTGCGCTTGGTTTCTTTTCGGCGACAAGCGCCTCGTCGTGTGACCACTGGCTCCCACGGATGTTTTGCAACTAGTAGTTGTGTAGACTAGTTTGGAGCTATTCTACATTTGTAACGTGAGAAACAAAACAATAAAACGTTCTCATGGACGGTCATCCCAACCGACTGTCCGCACTACGCGCAGTCAGCCGCTGCGCGGTCGACCTCTGTATCGTGCGCCTTCCGACAACAATGCCGCCAAGCACAAGCACCGCCATGCATGAGGGGAGTTAATTTTCGAAGACATGAGCGCCGCCAGCGGCGAAGGGCTTGCTCCATTCATGGGACAAGGAGCCACGCCTGCGCTGGCAGCTGCTCCTACCGCAGGAGGGGGAGCAGCAGCGAAAGCCGCAGAGGAAGCAGCCTCCATCCTGCAGTCTTGCACGGAGAGGCTCATGTGAGTCCGTCAGGGTTCGCAGCGCTGAAGAGAGAGAGCGCAGCGTATGCTGTTGTGCCCGGTGCCGTTGAGCCGTTTGTGTGTGCGCTGGACGAATTTGACGTGGAATCGGCCTCCTTCGGTGCCAGTGACGTGGAATCGGCCGGCGATAGCCTATCGCGCGTAGATATGTGTGTAGATGTGCCAGTGGGGTCGTGGGTTTGCGCGTCTCAAGGTTGCTTGCGATCAAAGTGTGTTTCTTAGGCCTTCGTGGGCTGGGAACGGCAGGAGGAAAAATGAACACTGAAACAGGGGGGGCACGCGACATCAGCTGACACAAGCTAATTTCGCCGCTTCCTCCCTATATATCTAGTTGCGCCTCTTCACTTCTCTCCAACTCTCTCTCTCTCTCTCTCTCTCAACTATAATAACTGCAATTCCCTCATAAGCTTATAATAACTGCAATTCCCTCATAAGCTCATCGTTCCAACCATGAACCAACACCTTCTCAATTCTAGTCTCCACCTCATCATACTCTTTTCTTGACCTTCCATTCCGTCACACCTCAACATATATAGACTACTGCGATAAAACTACCCCAAGTCTTCTTACCCTGACCTAACCTAGGGTTGACTCATTGCACGACAAATTCGACATGGTTCTGTAAGGGTAGTTCTGAAGGCGAATTCACAATGGTTCTGTAAGGGTAGTTATGAAGGCGTTATTTTCCGCTTGCGCGCAAATTCTGTGCGCTGCCGGCCGTACATTTTCATATCGCCCCGCCCCAGCCCCCCCTCTTTTCAGGAACCACAGCACCCGCGTCGCCCCTACACCCTCATCAAACAAGCCGCAGGCCCACAGCCACGTCAACGTGGTTGGGTCGTCCACGACAAAGGTGTACTGGCATTCCCTCCCCTGTCCCAGCAGCTGTGCTCCTGGTCGCTCGTCGGCTTTCGATGGTGCACACGAGTGCGGTCTTACCCGCTTTCCTCCACACTCCTGGCAGCACTGGCACCCATGTTGCTTTCGTCGCGCAGCAGACCGTTCAACGCGAGCGGCGGTCGTTAGCCCCGAAGCTTTCCACGAGGTCACGGTGAGAGAGAGTAATGACAACAGTAGGAGCGAGCGAGCGAGTGATTGCTGTTGGGTCGGTCGGTGGCTGCTGCTGCGCTGCAGATGCGGGGGGTTGTCCTCGAGGAGCGTGGCTGGTGGGTGTCCCGTTGCATTGCGGAGCGGCGTCTGTCCGTTGTTCAACTTTGCATGCACCTGCAACTGCCAACACCCACACGATCATCACCGTGTGAAGTGGTGCTGTTGTATGATGTTCTTGGACGTCTAGTGGTCCCTCGCTTGACTCGATGCTGGACGATGCCGTTGGTGGGTGGCGGGAAATGTGGAAACCTCCGTTCATTAGCTGCAATTATCTCTGCTGTCTGCCCGACGCTAGAGCCAACATGTGTGGGGCATCCATCTCCATGGATGGCCTCGTGCACCTTGGGCGTCAGCATGTGTGTGCGCAATATTGCCAGTGTCGGGAGTATGGGCTTTCCCTCGATGTCGGCAATGAGCGATTTTGCTGGCTAGACGCACACGTCGGCGCAACATCGGAGTCCGAGAGAAACATGCACCAAAACATGCACCACCTTACGTGCACGGCCTGGTACCGGCTGTAGTTGCACCACTTGTGAGACACCCGCTACACATTGTTGTGTCGTATGCATATAGGTCAGAGCTCGATCAGTATGGCACTCATCTGTGTTCTTGATGTTACAGCAGTACACGGCCCTGCTAGCTGCATCATTTGTAAAACACGCCCACCCCAGTTTGCGTGGTGTCAAATCAATCTCCATCAGAGTCCTACCTCTTTCTGTCTCTTGGTGCGGCAGCACCGACTGCTGCATACCGTTACATATGGGCCCCGTAAAGTGTCAACTGCCCCTTTACCTCTGCCCCTATTCGACTCAGCACCAACTGCTTGTATTGGACCGAGCTGTTAGCCGTACGTCGGGAGTACAACTGCCTCTTACCTCTGCCCCCCCTAAACGACTCCCAGGGCGCCCGTTACCCGACGTCCGCAAGCACCGCGCGACATCGTCAGCAGCGATGGCGCCAGCGGCAACGCCAGCGGCGGTGGCGGCATTGTCATTGGGCCCGCGGCCGGGCATTCCGAGGAGCAGGTGGCATGGCTAGGCCGCTTGGATTACTACGGAGGCAGGCAAATGTGGAGGAAGGCGGAGGACAAGTTTCAGCAGGTAAGAAAGTGGTACAGGTGCTTGAACTCAGGTGTTGGTCTTGCCTTGCGAATGGACTTCGATCCGGATATGCGGGCTGTGTGTGGATAGGAGATGCGTGGGAGAGTTGCGGTGCTCTCTCTCTTGTTGTTCGTTCTTTATTTCTTGGGGTGAGTTACTTGTACTGCTGTTACTTGGTAGCAAAGGGTGCAGCAAACGTACGTTCCTGGTCAGGAGGCCGAGAGGAGGTGGTGGAGAATTGAAAAGGTAGAAGTCGCGGTTGGCGCGGGCTTATCATCATCAAGCGCAGTTTGATTCGTGCACAGCGACTGCTTCGTCGAAGTGTGCTCACGCCACTTGGGATAAACGCACCACCAACTCGCCCACACACGTTTCCCACCTACGCCTCGATTTTTATATTGTTCATGTGGTATCGTTTCGTGTGCTCTGCTCGCGCTTGGCTGCGCACGTGGCATCGACCCACTATCTGCACCACATCCGCCACTTGCTTCCCTCTCCAGATGCAAGACGAGGGAGTCTACCCCACGCTGCCTCTGTGCAACAGCCTGATGGAGGCCTACCTTAAGGTGGGTGGCCCGGCCGGCGCGTGACGTGAACACGCTTAGGACAGATTTTGTTGGCTGTACCCATGCGGCTCACTCGAGTCGGCGTTTTCGGCACACGACGCATCAAACCCAAAGTGGTTTCCTGTTTTCAGCGTCAGCTTGAAGCTGTACATTTTTGCCCCCCCCCCCCCCCCCCCCCCCCCCCCC